TATCTATATAAATATATTTATATGTTTTTATTTATTTATATTTGTTTATTTATATTTATTTATATTTATTTATCTGTTTGTGCTGATGAAGAAAGCAAATATTTTGTGTAAACGTGTAAAAGAGAAGAAGGTCTTAGAGATAAATATATTTAATAAATAAATAAATAAATAAACAAATATATATATATATATATATTTGTTTGTTTATTTATAAGAAGTGTACAATAGAAGAAAGTTATTAATAATCATCTACCCCTGTCTCCTCTGCAAGCAGGAGCAGCAGAAGTATATATGGTTTAGGGTTTGAGGTGTACAAGCACTTTGCTTGTTTAATTTAGGGTCTTCAGCTCTGCGCGTAAACCCTAAACCCTAAACCCTAGATTCGGAAGTGCCTTCACCCCAGGGAAGGAGGAGACAACAGAGAGGGTTGCAAGGCCCCCTCTTGTGTTGCTGCCGTTGTTGCTGCTGCTGCTGCTCCTGCTGGTGCTGTTGCTGCTGCTGTTGCTGCAGCAGCAGCAGCGAGCGCACCATCAGAAGCAGCAGCAAAAAAAGCCGCAGCAGCGTTGTGCAGAAACAGCAACAGCATCTGCCCGCACCCCTCCTTACTTCTGCTGCTGCAGCTGCTGCAGCTGCTGCTGCTGCTGCTGCTGCTGCTGCTAGGGGTATTGGCTGCTGGCTGCATCATCGCCAAGCTGGAGTTGATAAGATTTTCGTCTTTCTTCATAATCATCATCGGTTATATTGCTGTCTCCTTCGCTAAACTGCGAGTACTCTTCTGTCTCTTCAGGTCCTTCCATTTGCTGCGCTGCTGCTGCTGCTGCTGCAGCAGGAGCAGCAGCAGCAGCAGGAGCAGCAGCAGCAGGAGCAGCACCACGAACAGCAAGGGTGTCCCACCTCCCGTCATCTGCTGCTCTGCAGTGTGCAGGACACAGACAAGCAGGTGCTGCAGCTGGCAGCAGCTGCAGCAGCCTCGATAATTCCTCCTCTGTTGACTGGCTTTGTAAACCACTACCATCAGCAGCAGCAGCAGCAGCAGCAGCAGCAGAAGGGCCCCCAGACCCCTTGCGCTGAGACACGCTGCTCTCCGCTGTACGCAAACACGCAGCACAAACAGCAGCAGCAGCAGCAGCAGCAGCAGCAAATCCTGACAGATTATAACAACTCAGCAAAGCACGCACAAGGCTCTATGCTAGGAGACTGCTGCTGCTGCTGCTGCTACTGCTGCTGCTGCTGCACCTGCTGCTGCTGCTGCGAATACAGCAGCAAAAGAAACAATTGCAGCAGCTGCTGCAGCAGGTGCAATACATACACCAAACGGCACTCTAATAAACCTTAAACTCTAAACCACCAGCGATGCAGGGAAAAAGACCCTAAACCCTAAACCCTAAACCCTAAACCCTAAACCCTCTGTACCAGCTTCTGCATTCGCAGGCTCTGTCTTCAAGTTCACCCCTCGCGCTGCAGCCACACAAACGCTAAACCCTAAGCCCTAAACCCTAAACCCTAAACCCTAAACCCTAAACCTTTAGGCTTATACCGTGAGGGGTGTGCATCTGGGTGAGCAGGAGATGTCTGAAGTGGAGCCAGCGTAAACCCTAAACCCTAAACCCTAAACCCTTACCGGTGCTGCTAACGAACTTGAGCTTCAGCTTCTTCATGCAGCAAAGCAGCAACACTACGAGAATGCAAAGGGCACCTGAAAGTAAGAAGAAATAGCAGCGAGGGTTTAGGGTTTGCGCTGCGCTCTGTCTAGAGGGTTGATTAGGGTTTCCTAGGGTTTAGGGTTTAGGGTTTATACGCACCCGCTGCAATCGTAGCTACAGCTAAAGGTAGATTTGCACCTCCCATCGGAGTTAATCCAGCAATCACAAAGGCCTTCGAAGCCCCCCACGCCTCCGCAGGCCACTCTGCACAAACCCTAAACCCTAAACCCTAAACCCTAAACCCTAAACCCTAAACCCTTGACCCAAAACGCTCATACACCCTTGTACAAGCTCGTACATCTTACACCTCAAGACTCGCGCACCAATGCGATGAAGCTTTCGCTACAACTCTAAACCCTAAACCCTAAACCCTAAACCCTAAACCCTAAACCCTAAACCCTAAACCCTAAACCCATAATATATACACTCCAAACCCTGAACCCTTAAAACTTTTTTCAATATTCACCACTGCACTTACTTCGTAGAAAAATATATGTTAATGTATATATGTACGTGTATATATCTACAGTATACATAAACAAATATATATATATATATATATATTTAAATATAATGTACATTAGATCCTGCATATTGTTTATATTGTATTTAAATGCATATATATATATATATATATTTATTTATTTTATACATGCTGTAAATAGTATATATATATACATATATATATATATATATTTATGCAGTGTACAATGTACAACTACAGTATATAAATAAATAAATAAATAAATAATATATATATATATATATATGTTGTATACATAGTCTATATTATATGTAAATATATATTATAGGCATGCGCTGTCTGCACAGGGTTTAGGGTTTAGGGTTTTTCGTGAGTAGAGCATAATATTGACAACCAGAAAGAGCGTTTGTTTCCGAGAGAAGAGCGTAGAGATTAGGGTTTAGGGTTTAGGGTTTACTGTTTTTAGTAAGAACAGCATAGTATTGAACACCAGGAAGAAGCGGCTCCCACAGAACAGCATAAAGTTTCTGAAAGTTAGGCGTTAAAGGAGGATGCAGCCAAACCCTAAATTTAGGGTCTGAAGGTAATATCCAGGGTTGTAAACCCTCAGACTCCCACGTAGAGTTCTTTACCTGCACACAAACCCTAAACCCTAAACCCTAAACCCTAAACCCTAAACTCTATACCCTAAACCCTCTACCCTAAACCCTAAACCCTAAACCCTAAAGCCTAAACCCCAAACCCTAAACCTTAAACCCCAAACCCTAAACCCTAAAAACTAATGGAGGGAAGCAATGCAGCTGATTGAATACCTTGTGCAACTGCCACACACTCACGCAATCGTATACACTAAACCCTAATAAACCCTAATACACCCTAATAAACCCTAATACACCCTAATAAACCCTAATACACCCTAAAAAACCCTAGTAAACCCTCGACAAAACCTAACAAACCCTAATAAGCGCTTGAAAACCATCGACAAACCCTAATAAACCCCAATAAACCCTACCAAGCCCTACTAAACCCTAGTAAACCCTCGATAAACCCTATTAAACCCTCATAATAATAATAATAACAATAATAATAACAACAACAACAACAACAATAATAATAATAATAAGGACAATAACAATAAAAACAATATATATATATATGTATATAAAGGCTAACCATGAACTGTAGAAAGATAATAAAGATAATAATAAAGATAATAATAAAGATAGTAATAAATACAACAAAGATAATAATAAAGATAATAATAAAGATAATAATAAAGATAATAATAAAGATAATAATAAAGATAAAACAATAAAAATAAACAAAAATATATAAAGCTAACCATGAACTGTAGAAAATCCCATTTGTAGGCGACAGAGTTGAAGTCGAGAGAGAGAGACAGCACTTTACCGTCTTTGAGCTGTCTCTTGAAGGCGATATCATCGTTAAAAAGAGAGACAGCCTGCGCCCCACAAGGGAACGCCTCCGGAGCTGTGGGGTCTATGGGATCGCCCGATCCCACCTCCCGAAGCAAAGGAGGCAACGTCTGAACCCCCTCAACAAAACGCAAAGCTAGAGCCTCCGCTTGTGTCTTTATAACTAAAAAAAATAATACAAACAAATATAAATAAATAAAATAAATTAATTAATTTATATAACTAAAAAAATTATTAAAACAAATATAAAATTGTTTATTTATTTATTTATTTAACTGAAGAAATATAATAAAAGGGTGTAGGGTTTAGAGGCTTAAGCTTCTTATCAGCAGCTTCGCTTTTAGGGTTTAGGGGTGCATATTTAGGGTTTTGTCTTCTGGGTTTCATGTTGGGGTTTAGGGTTTAGGGTTTGTACTCCTCTATATATATATATATACATATATATATATATATATAGGGTTTAGAATAAGGGTTTAGGGTTGATTATTTGTTATTATTATTAGGGTTTAGGGTTTAGGGTTTCGTAGGGTTAAGGGTTGATGGTTTAGTAGGGTTAATGGTTTCGCAGGGTTTAGAGTTTCGTAGGGTTTAGGGTTAAGGATGTCGTAGGGTCTAGGGTTTGGTAGGGTTTAGGGTTTAGGGTTTAGGGTTTACCTTCGCATTTGTATCCTGAGTTAACTTGAGGCGGCCCGTCTTTGAGAAAGGGTCTGTAATTAGCATAGAATCCATCTAAACGATAATAAACAAACAACGGTGGGTTGAGCTGCCTATACACCTGAAAAGGTATAGGGACACCCACTTTGCTGCTGCTGTTGTATGGCAGCAGCACTTCTGCTGCTTGCAGCGAGAACAGCAGCAGCACAGCGCCTAGTCCCAGCAGCAAGCAACCCCACAACATACATATTGCTGCTGTTATAGGCAGCCTATACACCTGAAAAGGCAGCAAACTCCTCCCTAGTTCTTGCTGCAGTGCAGCAGCAACAAAACGGTGAAGCTCTTGTCGCTGCTGCTGCTTACGAGGCAGCAGCTGCCCATCTACTTCACATACAGCAGCAGCAGAATAAACCCTTGTGCAGCGCGGCTCCAACCCATGCTGCTGCTCCCGCTGCTGCAGTCGCTGCTGCTGCTGCTGCTGCTGCGCCTCTTGCTCTGACGCTGCCAGCAACTTTCCTGAAGCTCCTGCTGCACCTGCTGCTGCTCCTGCTGCTGCTCCTGCTGCTGCTTCAATCGTATCTAGACATGGCACATAGACGCTACCTGACCAGCAAGAGCAAATGGTGCGGCTGCAGTTGCTGCAGCAGCTGCTGCTGCTGCTGCTCCCGCTGCTGCTCCTGCTGCTGCACCTGCTGCTGCTGCACGCAGGTTGCCTGCGGCGCGGAGGATCAACAGGGACAGGATACACTGGGACAGCAGCAGCTGCTGCTGCTGCTGCTGCAGCTGCTGCGGCTGTTTCTACTGCTGCTGCTTTTTCTGCTGCTGCTGCTGCTGGATATTGCGACGATATGCCTGAATAATAAATGCTGCTCGCCTGCTGCGGCGCATCAACCGCAGCGGCAGCTGCTGCATTGCTGCTGCTGCTGCAGCAACTGCTGCTGCACCTTCTGCTGCTGCTGGTAATGCCTAGGATCTCATTGTAAGTTCGCCTCAGCTGCGCGTGGTGTACATGGAGGGGAGATCGATATGTGCTGCTGCTGCTGTTGCTGCAGCAGCAGCTGCTGCTGCTGCTGTTGAGACTGCAGTAGCTGCTGCTGCTGCCCCAGCGGTGGTTGTTCTTATTCTCTCCTCCTGAAGCACGCAGCTTTGCTGCTGCTGTTGCTGCTGCTGCTGCTGTTGTCATCGTCTGATGCTAGAAGCTGCTGCTACGGGCCATTGCCGGTTGTGAAGCAGCAGCAGCAGCTGCTGCTGCTGCTGCTGCTGCTCCTGTGAATGCTTCTCTCGCTGCTGCTGAAAAGGTTTTCGCTGCTGCTGCTGCTGCTGCTGCTGCTGCTTCAAAAGACAGCGGCCCTGCAGCAGCTCTGCTGCGGGGATCGGTTAGCAGGCGATCCCAGTTGCTGCACGCGCAAGGGGAAGCCGCAGTTTCTACTCTATAGATTGACATGCAAACCCTAAACCCTAAACCCTAAACCCTAAACCCTAATCATCAAGCCCTGCACACTAGACCTTGCAGTGCTGAGCAAAGACAGGCGTTCGTTCATGTGGCGCCTGAAACGAAACCAAGACCACAAAACCCTAAACCCTAAACCCTAAACCCTAAACCCTAAACTCTAATTTTAGCATAAAAAACACTAAGACAGCTTTTATTCTCTTTGCATGCATTCCTCGCTCCCCAAACGCTGGGGGCCTCCCCCTGTGATGGGGCCTCCGGTAAACCCTAACCCCTAAACCCTAAACCCTAAACCCTAAACCCTAAACCCTAAACCCTAGAATTTAAAGTTCATTTTTTATGCAATCTTCCATTTAATAAGCACTTCTACACTTTCTAAAAGCAGCTCCTTTTGCCTCCCTTCTGCCCAGAGGGCACAAAGAACATCTAGGGTTTAGTGTTTAGGGTTTAGGGTTTAGGGTTTAGGGTTTCGCTGCACGCCCTAACGTACTGCAGCCTTACACTCACATTAACTTCTTCTGGTTAGCCATTGTGCTGCCCAGCTAGACTCAGTGCCCCTCTATGTAGCTGTCTGGCTAGCTAGCTGTCTCGCTAGCTAGCCGGCTGACTAGCTAGCTGTCTGGTTAGCTAACTGTCTCGATAGCTAGCTGTCTGACTAGCTAGCTGTATGGTTAGGTAGCTGTTCCTCTAGCTAGCTGTCTCGCTAGTTAGCTGTGTGGCTAGCCAGCTGCATAGCTAGGTAGCTGTCTCGCTAGCTGTCTTGCTAGATAGCTTTCCGGCTGGCTAGCTATGTAGCTATCTGCCTGCTAGGATGGCTAGCTAGCTAAATACGAGCCTAAGAGAATAGCTGGCTAGCTAGCTAGCTAGCTAGCTATTTGCGTATCAGGGTGGCTAGCAAGGCAGGCGCCCAAGTAGCTGCTTAGCTAACTGCTTAGCTAGCTGCTTAGCTAGCTGCTTAGCTAGCCATCCTCACCCCTATGCTGAGTTGCTGCTGCACGCTGCAGCAGCATAAAACCGTAAAGAGATTTGCTGCCTTTTGCCTGGGCCGCTGCTGCTCGGAGACAGGAGACAGCTTCTTCTCTGCTGCAGAGTTTGCTGCTGCTGCTGCTGCTAGGAGACAGGAGCCAGCCTCCGTTGTTGTTGCTGCTGTACTTGCTGCTGCTGCTGCTGCTGCAAACACAGGACGCCAGGGCTCTTCATGTTCTGTTTTGCTGCTGCTGCGGTTGCTGCTGCTGTTCCTGCTGCACTCTCAGCAAATCAAGCGCGTAGTGCTGCTGCTGCAGTTGTTGCTGCTGCCGAAGCCCCTATGGGCTGCTGCTGCTGCTGCTGCTGCTGCTGCTGTATTGGCTTTGTCTCTCTCCCGTTCGCCTGCACGGTCTCCTGCGCAGCAGCAGCAACAACAGCAGCGGCAGCAGCAGCATTGCATCGCTGCCGGTTGCTGCTACGGCCGGTGCTGCTATTGAGGAGGTTGCTGCTGCTGTTGCTGCTGTAACTGCAGTTGCTGCTTTTGCTGCTGCTACTGCTGTTGCTGCTGCTGTTGCTGCTGCTGCTGTATCGCGAGTGGGAATGCGAGGAAAATAGCTGCAGCTGCTGCTCTCTCTTGTTGCTGCTGCTGTTGCTGCTGTTGTTGCTGCTTCTCGTCAAAGGAGGCATTGGGTGGCAGCACAAGTAGCTCCTCTGCTGCAGTTGTAGCAGCAAGGTTTGCTGGTGCTGGTGCTACTCCTGCTGCTGCTGCTGCGGTACTCTAACTGTTGCAGCAGCAGCAAAGACTACAGCAGCAGCTTCTCTGCTGCATGCATATGGCAGCAGCAGCAAAGACTACAGCAGCAGCTTCTCTGCTGCATGCATGTGGCAGCAGCAATTCGTTTGTTTTGGATGCCTCTCCTTCATTTTGTCTTTTCTTAGGGTTTGCTGTTGCTGTGGTTTGTTGCTGTTGAGGGTGTAGGGTTTGCTGAAGAGAAGAGTTGTTAACAGCATGTGTACAGACACTGCAGCGCTGCTGCTGCTGCTGCTGTTGCTGCTGCTGCTGTTGCTGCTGCTGCTGCTGCTACGCAAACGTATCTGCCCCTCCAAAGCATCACCAACAATTCTAAAAATGCACAAGAAAATTAAATGCATGCATTCACGCATGCAAAGAAGTCTGCAAGCATGCATGCATCAAAGAAGTCTGCAAGCATGCATGCATGCATTGCTGATTATATGCATGCATGCATGCATGCACATCTGCATGCATATTTGGTTTGATGCATGCATGCATGGATGCTTAAATGCATGCACGCATGCATGCATGTTTATCTGCATGCATGCATGCATGTATGTCTGTTTATCTGCATGCATGCATGCATGTATGTCTGTTTATCTGCATGCATGCATGTTTATCTATCTGCATGCATGCATGCATGTCTGTTTATCTGCATGCATGCATACAGATAAACGACTGGGTTTAAGCAAAACAGCAGCGGCAGCAGAGAACTGCTGCTGGCACGCTGCGCCTGCTGCTGATGGTAGTGCTGTCGTTGCTGCTGCTGCTGTTACTGCTGCTGCTGCTGCTGCTGCTGCTGCTGCTGCTGTTAACTACAGCGGCAAACCCTCAAGGTCTTCATCTCGCATGAACGCCGCCACCAGGTCGTCGATCTGCAGCAGCAGCAGCAGCAACAGCAGCAGCAGCAGCAATAACACAGGAAGGTAACGAGACACCCTAATGGAACAGGAGCAGCAACAACACTGCAGCAGGTGCAGCAGCAGCAAAACTGCAGCAGCAGCAGCAGCAACAGCAGCAGTACAGCAGCACAGGGAACACGCAGCCCAGAGACGCCTCAGCTTGCCTCTGCAGCAGCAGCGACCCCAGCAGTAGCAACAGTAGCAGCAAAAGAAAAAGCAGCAGCAGCAGAAGGAGCAGCAGCAGCAGTAGCAGAAGGAGCGCTTGCCTCTGCAGCAGCAGCGACCCCAGCAGTAGCAACAGTAGCAGCAAAAGAAAAAGCAGCAGCAGCAGAAGGAGCAGCAGCAGCAGTAGCAGAAGGAGCAGCAGCAGCAGCAGCAGCAAGGCACACCGGCGCAATAATAGCAATTTCAGTGTCTCCTCCAGCTTCATCGATAACAGCGTCAACAGCAAACCCTCTTCGCCCTCCAGGTGTATGGGCGCCTGCCTTCCTGCTGCTGCTGCTGCTGCTGCCAGCAGCAGCAGCAGGTGGTACTGCAGGCAGAGGCTCTTCAGTCCGCGGTAGATGCAGATACACCTCAACAATGCGCATGCTGGCCAGCTGCACGTACACCCCAATCAACCCCAACAGCCCCAAGGGTTTAGGGTTTAGGGTTTAGGGTTTAGAAGCTCTTTTGACTGTGCTTTGGAATGAGATGATTGTAGGCTTCAGGCTGGAGTTTAGGGTTTAGGGTTTAGGGTTTTAGGGTGTAGGGTCTGGAGAAGCTGAGCAGCTCGTTGTGGAGGGTCTTCGCTGAGCTGTTGAGGGTCGCTGAGCTGTTGAGGGTTTAGGGTTTAGGGTTTACGGTGTCAATCATGGCCTTGAGGTCCTGCATATCCAGTACTCTGCTATGCTCTGCAACAGCGCAGCTGCTGCTGCTGCTGCTGCTGCTGCTGCCTATAAGAATGCTAGGGTGTGTCTGCAGCAGCGTTTGCACTGAGGTGTACAGACAGTGCAGCGCCACCCCACAACCCGATTGTCGCTGCTGCCGCAGCAAACAATACAGCAGCAGCCTGAAACGCACAAACCCTAAACCCTAAACCCTAAACCACATGAAGCCCTAAACCCTAAACCCTTAACCCAACAGGACCCTCAATAATACACCCTCAATATCACTAAATATAAACCCTACGCAAACGTCAATAAATCTGATTAACACTGGGCCCTAAACCCTAAACAACCCTAAGCAACCCTCAATAACCCTAAACCCTAAACCCTAAACCCTAGCCAGCACTCACTTCATCCCCCGAGGTAACAGCAAAATCGAGTCCTTCAGCGGCTGCAGCAAGCGCACAACACCTAAACCCTAAACCCTAAACCCCTACCAAACCTTAAACCCTAAACTCTAGTCCCTACATCCTAAACCCTAAACCGTAAACCCTAAACCCTAAACCCTACTGCGGACTCACGGAATCGAAGAGGTCGTTGGCGGCGCTGGTGATATCGGCAGGCTGCTCGCATGCAAACCCACATCACTCTAAACCCTAAACCCTAAACCCTAAACCCTAATTTGTTGAGATTAACAAGGTTCTGTGGGCGCTGCTTAGGAAGCACAGAAATCCTAAACCCTAAACCCTAAACCCTAAGTGCTAAACCACCCTCTTCCCTAGAGCTAAACCAACCATAGGCAACCCTAAACAACGCACAACACCCCTAAACAAACCTAAACCCTAAACCCTAAACCCTAAACCCTAGCGAAGGCTGTTTGTGCCTTACATGGATCTTCTTCCCTTCACGTAGCGACTCCAGCGCTCGTCTGCAGCAGAAGACAAACTCTAAAAGCTAACAGCGGGGCTGCAGTGCTGCTCAGCTTATAAGGGTTAATGAGGGTGTATTAGGGTTTATTAGGGTTTCTTAGGGTTTAGTGGGGTTTATATGGTTTATTAGAGTTTATTAGGGTTAACTAGGGTTTATTAGGGCTTACTAAGGTGTATTTATTAGGGCTTATTAGGGATTTACTATGGTTTAGGGTTTAGGGTTTACTAGGGTTTACTAGGGTTTAATAAAGTTTACTGGGATTTACTAGGGTTTATCATGATTTATTAGGGTTTACTCTGGCTTATTAGGGTATACTAGGGTTTACTAGGGTTTACTAGGGTTTACTAGGGTTTACTAGGGTTTACTAGGGTTTAGGGTTTAGGGTTTACCTGAGGACCTGCAAGGCCCTGCGGATATCTCCATAGAAATTCGCAATCTTCCGCGCACACACTTTGATGGCTGCGCTGTACGTACACCCCAGCACAAACAAACAAACTGAACCCTAAACCCTAAACCCTAAACCCTAATTGACCCTAAGCCCTAAACCCTAAATGACCCTAGAAAGCCCTTAAAAACCGTAAATCCCAAACCCTAAACCCTAAACCTCAACTGACCCGAAAAGACCCTGGAAGCCCCTAAACCCTAAACCCTAAACCCTTAACCCCAATGGACCCTGAAAGGCCATAGAAGCCCTTAAACCCTAAACCCTAAACCCTAAACCCTACTCAGCAAAGAGGTCTTTGCAATCCTGCAGGCGTTCAAGGATTATTCCTTCGATCTGTTCACTCGTATAAGGATTGAAGGTCAGCCGCCCAAACCCTGCGGTGTACGCCCTGGAAGCCCCTAAACCCTAAACCCTAAACCCTTAACCCCAATGGACCCTGAAAGGCCATAGAAGCCCTTAAACCCTAAACCCTAAACCCTAAACCCTACTCAGCAAAGAGGTCTTTGCAATCCTGCAGGCGTTCAAGGATTATTCCTTCGATCTGTTCACTCGTATAAGGATTGAAGGTCAGCCGCCCAAACCCTGCGGTGTACGTACACCCCAACACCCCACACGCAGCATCAACAGCTACAGCTAGCTATAGCTAGCTATACCTAGCTCTACAGCTAGCGAACAAGAGTTGAAGGGTTCTTCACTGTGCCTGCAAATCCGCAGCTAGCCAGATATGAGGGTAGCTAGCTAGCTAGCCAGCTAGCTAGCTAGCTAGCTAGCTAGCTATAGCTAGCTAGCCAAGACAATGCGTGAATATATAATGAAACAAACCTATTCTTGAAGTGCAGCGAGCGTTAGCAAGTCTTTCAGGGAGGTCAATAGTGTTGGCAATAGCAATTAAAATAAAAGAAGAAGAGGGGCTGAAGGCCCAGTCAAACAAAGTATATAAAACGCGTTGCTTGCGGCTCTGCAGACAATCTACTTCATCAACAACCAATACGCTGTACGTACACCCCACACAAACAATATAAATATAAATATAAATATTAATATTAATATAATAAAATAGAAGTTAAATTAAAATCAAAGGGATATTCAACAGAAATATAATAGAAATAGATGTACGTACACCCCAAACAAACAACACAAATTATATATAAATAAAAATATAAATAGAAATCAAAGAGAACTATACTACAAATGTAATTAAAATAGATATGCAAATAAATATAACAAATAAACATAAAATAGATATAATAAATAAACATAAAACAGATATAATAAATTATCATAGAATAGATATAATAAATAAGCATAGATAATAAAGAAAGAACACACAAACATAAACAATAAAGCAAAAATAAACAAAGAGAGAAGAACAAAGTGTAAAGCATAAGTCTAAACCCTAAACCCTAGACAAAAAGAAATAAACCCTAAACCCTAAACCCTAAACCCTAAACAGCAGTTATAAACAGCAGAGGGTAAACAATAAACAACAGAAACCCTAAACAAAAACCCCTTAACCCCAACTCAATCCTAAACCCTAAACCCTAAACCCTAATTTGAGCATACATAGGTTCTCTCTTGCATTTTTGTTTGTTGTATGTTTTTCTTTTCTTGTTTGTTTCTCCCCAGGAGTAAGGGTTTAGGGTTTCGCCATCCGTTTGAGCAAGAGAATTAGGGTTTAGGGTTTCAATTGGCGTTCTTATAAAATGTCTTTCTAATTCAATAAAAGCATGCTGAGGGTTTTGAGGTTTGCAATCAAACAGCTGCCTATACACCGCAACAAACACCATATCTGGGTGCTGAAGCCTCATTGCATTTACTTCGATACACCGGAACGCAGGAACCGTCTGAATACACACACAACAAACCCTAAACCCTAAACCCTAAACCCTAAACCCTAACCCATAAACCCTCAATCCTAGACCCTAAAGCCTACACCCCAAACTCTAAACCCTAATCCCTAAAACCCTAGGCGCTAAACCCTAAACCCTAAACCCTAAACCCTGTACTCTAAACCGTAAGCCCTAGACCCTAAACCCTAAACCCTAAACCCTTGCCTTTTGCTGCACTTCTCGTTGCAGCGAGCGCAGCACACTCTGTACTGTGGCGGTCTTCCCTGTGCCGGGGAGGCCGCTGATGTCTGTACACCTCAAAACCAACAACAAAGTAGATAAGAATATAAATAAAAACAAATATATATATATATATATATATATTCATATGTATAAATAGATATTAACATGCATAAATACATACTATATTGTACAACTACAAGATATATATATATATATATATAGGCTTAAATATATATATACATGCATGCATACAAATATACATGTGTATATATATGTACACGAGTATATATATATATATATGCAGAGATATTTACAGCCAAGTATCCGCATTCATACAGATATATATATATATATATGCATATAGGTATATATAGATATACCTATATGCATATATATATATATATATATATATGTATATGTGCAGGAGACAGCAGAAAACAAAGAAGGAGACAGCAGAAAGCAAACGGAGACAAAGAAAGCTGAAGAGAGAAAAACCTCACAAAGCAGCTCTCCGCCTTGTTGTTGTCTGATGCCGGTTAATATCGTCTGCCGAACCTTTTGAAACTCCGCCGTCCTGCATACATACCAAACCCTAAACCCTAAACCCTAAACCCTAAACCCTAAACCCTAAAACGTAAAGCTTAAAAGTGTCACTGAACATTCCAGCGGACGTTCGGATAAATCTTCCCGAAGAGATAAGGGTTTAGGGTTTGCTGGCTGAGGGTTTAGGGTTTGCTGTCGAGGGTTTAGGGTTTTAATGCTTCACCTGCACGGCAGAGTGTCAGGGACGCTGTCTAGTTGCAGTCGGCGGATGGCTCGTTGCACAGGAGTCACTGAGCAGCAAACCCCAAACCCTAAACCCTAAACCCTAAACCCTAAACACTAAATCCCAGCCCCAAACCCTAAACCCTCGGCTCGAATTCGTATGCCTTGATTCCAAAGCCCTAGACCCTAAACCCTCAGCTATGGTTTGTAATGGAGATAATAGATTAAATTTATATTAATCTGCTGCATCTTGATTTAATAGCTAGCAGCAAACTAACTGAGGTGTACGTACACCCGGCGTCTGCTCTGGGGTTTATTTGCTGCTCGCTTCCCTTCGAATATATCCAGTGGTACT